GTTGATATCTGACCAAAAGTGGATAGAAACTTGTCATTGAATTTTGAACCAAAAAAGAAACTTTATTTCTCTCTGAAAATTCCTATATGGAAGAACAACATGATCACGATGAGTACAGTCTTATTTTTAAAAAAGTGCGTTTTAGAAGAAAAAAGGCAAAAAATGATGTCTGAACCAATATGAACCATTTTACGTGCGTCACAGGCAAGCCATACATTGCTCGAATTACAACCGTTGAAAGTTCTAATATCCTAGAGCCTACACAGTTCTGTATGCCCATACTTCCTTAGAGAATGAAATAGAAGGAATGAGGCGGATTTGAGAAATGGTTCGAGATAGTGCACGATTACATATCTTGTCTTGGATGGCCACGGTTAATAAAAATCCTTTGTGTTAAAGCGATTATAAAAGTAAAAAAGAGACAATGTTGTACCTCTGGATCTACCATTTTCTGATTGAATACCATCTGCTGGCGTGGCCTCTGGCGCTCCCTGCTCAGAAGAGTTTCCGACAGGCTACAACAAGATTAAAGCGAGTGGGCTTCTGAGGAAAAGCAGTTCCCTACCCATCAGTATGCCAAACAGGAATGTTATCAAGCGAAAATCAACAAATATCATCATCAAATCTCAAAAACATCTCAAAATCCATCTGTTACTCGGAATTGTTGGATTAGGTTTCGTAGATACGATTCTATTAGGTTGCTCCTGCTTTATTAAACATAAAGCTGCGCAGATCAGAACTACGCACTCAATGCGTCGAATCCGTTACGCCTACATTTGAATAAAAAATGACGTGCTAGCTTCGATGAAATCTCCGTTATGAGTTGAGAGCAACAATCTGTTCCCGTCGTGTGTAGCCTTTAGCCTAACAGAAAGTTCAATCTACCTAAGAAACTACTTTTAAATCTCTTTGCGATCGTTAGCAACTTAACGTTTGGAGATACGAACTTCTTCGGTGAATATAATCTTTCAATCCAAGAAATAAGCGATGAAGTCTCAAATAGCTGCATACCTATGGAAACACTCATAGTGCATGGTATGTGAGCAAGTGGATGCGTCAATCCCAACAAGCAGATTTGCTGGTGCCAAATCGCGAAGTTTTGCATCGTTCTCCGGCTCTCCTTGTTGTGCAAAAAGCAACGACCCAAAAAAACCTTTTTTTCCACCTTTTCAATGGAAACAGAGCTATCTACTTACTTTTGAACGTAAGCAGCACACACAAACGCTTTTCCATTGCTAGGAGTTAAAGTTTCTTCTTCTTGACAAAGTATGCAAGTGACTTTGCGAGGTAACACTACTTCTACAGTGCTTCTGTGTGGTCCAAGGCAAACTGGGAAACCATGGTCTGATTGTCTGCTAGATTCAAGTAAATCATATGAAAGAAGGATGAAACAAATAATGCAGGCAACAAACCTAACAAAATCTTCATCGTCATCAACACGCTCGGACGAAACTCCAGCAACTTTCAACTGTTCCGCAACGAATGGACTTTCTGTCTCCATTACTTTGAGGAAAGACTTTTGCATCTTTGTCATCTATGGAAGGAATGCACCATGCATATTGAGATACGCCAATTTTTTCAAAGCAAACATATAACATACCTTCATCATAGCCTGTTCTCGCATTTTGGCAGCTCGGGCAGCTCTCTTCGCTTTCGCATCATCTACTCCCTCATGAATTTCAGCACTTTCCTTTGGTTTCTCAGTCGCTTTACCGGTTTTCAACAAAAGTTGGACTTCCTTGAATTTCTGTAAAAGTAAACTCCATTGAATAATGATGAGAATTCTTCCTATTTTTAACAAGTACTAACAATTTATTCATCCTAATTGTTCCTTATCTAAAGGATCATTTTGCGCAGACATCCCACTCAAACTTCCAAAAAAGAAGTGGAAAAATTTACAGCAATCTTTGTTAGTTTGGAACTTGCCATGAACATCAATGTATTACATAATCAAACGAAATCCAAAATTGGCAACAAGTGAATAAAGAGTTTGCTTAAGTAGCACAAAAATTCTGGCGAAGAACGACAGTTAATAATCAGCTTTCGAAACGAGCGTTTCCCCAAAAATGTGCTCATTATTTTCCTTGATAGCTCCTTAATGCCACATCTTCTAAAGGTTGATAAACAACATTGAAGGATAAGCTCGATAATCTTAGACTTCCCCTAATCGCATCTTTGTCTTTCTTTACATTAGGAACATGACATAAACTTGTGAGGCTTTAGCAATACCATGCACTAGATGTCCCAAAAACATTTGTAGTAAGCTGGAAAGACTCATAGAGGTTTTTGTATGCGCTGAGCCCGAATATGATAAGCATTTGATACCGGCAAGATGATGCAATAACGTGAGGTACTGCGCCGAAGTAGCGGGATGCTACCGTGACATGAGGAACCATTATGTTTGATTGAACGCGAAAATCAAACATAAGCAATCCCTTCAAAATCATAAGGTCCACAATAGATACGGAAACAATGAAGTTGAAACTGTCATAAAATGGTCATTTTGTAAAGGGACACTTTGTATTTGCAAGAATGCGATAATACAGAAACGGCTACAGACTGGCTTCCCCAATAAAAAAAAAGAAGTATGAATTTCGCAATCAGAAAAGCGTAAATACCTGAATTGTCCACCAAAGAAGATCTGCATGTGTAGCAACTTCAGGAGATCCAGAAAGTGACTCTAGCGACCGCAGTAGCTCTTCCTTTTCAGCCGCTATGGTGAAGGAAAAACCATGAGGATCACGAGTTTGTTCATGGAGAGCCATTCCAATCAGATAAAGCGCCTAGATAGGATCATTTACAGCAAAGCGCACAGATAGTAGACGAATGACGGACCCTGTGCAGCAAGCGATCACTCGAAAATCGACTTCGTTTGCCGGTTCTGTCAAGTACAAGTTTCAAAATCTTGATAAGGCACGGGGTCTTCAGAATATTTGCAGCAGGTGCAAAAAAGGGCTCAAAGTCGCATGGCATCGGCGGTGGACAAGCTTGCAGCTTTCTAAAGGCAAATAGAGTTAAAGTAAAGATTCCTTTCGTCTAAAGCTAGAGATATTCAAATTAACACTACACTACACACTAACCGGTCTGATTTGGACCGCGTCTTTTGCTGGTACTGCTCAGCTTGAGAAAGATCGCTTCTTGAGTAATGGTAGAAGAACGGATTGTACACAGGAAGTAGAGAGTCTTTTAAGTAAAACTGGCCGGCCGAGGTTGAAGTAGGTTTGCTAAAAACACATACTTATTCCTTTGCTAACACCAAACAAGATTGTATTTTTTAGCACTGAGATTTTACAACTTACTTGAAGTTGGCAACGCTGTTGACTATTTCATGTAAGGAAACCCGTTCAATCATAGGATCATGAGACATGCGTTTCTGTATCTTAAAAAAAAACGATTTTGTTAACAAGAAAAAAAAAACAATAGTGATGGCACATATAAGAAATATCAATCATAACTGATGTGAAAAATCTTGACACTGTTGAATATAACTTTTCATAAGTGTAATGCGTCTAAGCATTGAAATCCCTACATGATTTTAAGAAAAATGACATGTTGGCAACTATACACTAATGTTCAACTTAAGACTTAGAACATTTACACCTTTCCTTCATAGATAAAAAACAGATGACAATCCCAAGCCACTACTCCGGAATCTAGGCCCCAAACCAAATCTTGAACTTCGCCGATCCTCTATGGGTATCTGAGAACGCTGTCATGATGATTCCGCACGATACAAACATATTGGAGAGTTTTGATAATTAGATAGTGCAGGTCAGGATTACCTACTTAACGGAGTTGTTTAGTGGAGTTATTTGACATCCTGAGCACAAATACCCATCCATTCCCATGATAAGGTCATGTGTGGGATTATGGTAGGTAGACGTTAAGAGAGTAAAATCACAAAACTCCCCGAAAATTTTCATGCTGAGGTTATTTGGTATGCTGATCGTGAATATAATTATTTCAGGCATGGTCATACTATAAAAGTAATTGTGGTGGAAAGTCATCATCGTGAATTCGTCTAAATTTCACAAGGAAAATCGTTTATTTGAGCTGATTACGAATGAGATACTCTTTCGTAACATCATGTCTAACGATGAAGCTACAGTGGACTTACAGTGAAAACTTATCCATTTAAGCCTAAGCCTTTGATTAAAGAATAGTCCTTGACCTTGCTATAGATAGGGAGCTTGCCTGTCGGCATAAACTACTACATATACACCGTTGGCGATTAGAACGTCAAGTAATCTCGCCAAAGCAATGCTTAGGTCAATGGCGGTAGCTACCTGTACCTACC